AGCGCGAGAAGCGGGAGCTGAGCCGCGCGGAGCGGGCGCGCCACGAGGCGCTGCTGCGGGGCCGAGCCCGGCAGCAGCAGCAGGAGCGGGAGGGCCTGCGGAGCTCCCTGGAGGCCAGCTTGGGCCGCGCGCAGGAGAACTACGAGCAGTTGGTGGAGCAGCGCACCCGCGAGCTGCGGGAGCGAGCCCGGCGGGAGGAGCTGCAGGGTCGGCGGGCCAAAGCGGCCGTGGAGCGCAAAGAGCGGGAGCATCAGGCGCACTTGGAGGCGCTGGCGCGGGCTGGGGAGCGGCGGCTGCAGCACGCGGCGCAGGTGGCCGAAGAGGCCGTGCAGCAGAAGGCCCGGCGCGTGGGCCAGACCCGGCTGGAGAAGGAGCGGGCCCAGCGCGCCAACAAGGAGAAGGTGGAGAGGGACGAAGACTGCCGTCGCAGGGAGCTGCTGCAGGCCATCGGGCGCAAGCTGGAGCGCAGCGAGCAGCTGTCGCGGGAACGGCGGAGCGCGCTGGAGAGCGCTCGCTCCACGGCCCGGGCCTCCTTCCACGTCCGAGAGAAGGTGCGAGAGGAGACCAACACGCGCTCCTTTGACCGCATGGTGCGCGAGGCCCAGCTGCACGCCAGCCTCGACCGAAAATGACTGCGCCCCGGACCTCCAGACATGGCACACAGCCCAGTGAGGCCTCCCCGGCCACTTTGACCAAACAGGGGCATTCCCCAGTCCACGTGCAGCACCGTGGACTCCTTAGGCTCCTGACCGCTGAGACAGTGAGAGGACACACATGTAGGACTTTTCAGTCGGCCCCTTTTGTTTTTAAAAACTTACTTCATTTGGAGATGACATGGCACAATCTTGGCCCACATCCAACCTTGCCAAACCTCCCTATGTGTGTTTTGGGTTGGAGTGGAGAGTGGCTAGGGGAAGAGGTTCCCCTTGGTGAGAGCTTCACCCCAGATATTCTTCTGATATTGGTGTTTGGGAGGACTTTTGGCTGCAGCAGCTGAGGGGTGTCCTTGGGCTCACCTCCGTCTTTCGAAGTACAGCAGTTGCGCAAAGTTTGGAGGCCTTCCAGGAAAGCACAGCTCTTCCAAAGTGTCCGGCCGCCGAGGGGCTGGGGATTTAGCTCAGCGGCCAAGCGCCTGCCTGGCAAGCGCAAGGTCGTGAGTTCCATTCCTGGTACCGGAAAAAAAAACAAAACAAAACAAAACAAAACAAAACAAAACCAGTGGGTGAGACCAAAGTGGCCGGCCGTGCACAGATGACCCAAGAGCTATTGGTTTTTGTATGCTTGAGTGTTAATCAGTCATCAGAGCAAGTTTTCCTGTTAGTTCCCGGAGTTTTTCAGTTGAGTCCCCCAAGTTTTCTAGTTAGACAATCACTCCATGGAAAATTATCAGTTTGTCTCCCTTTTTTTCCGCTCTCCTTATTTCCCCAACTGGTAGAGGAAATGGGTTGGTTTGGTGACGCTGTTTAGATTTATTGGACGCCCTCAGCCCTGGAGGTGTTGGTTCTCTGAGGCAGCAGCGTCCCACCTCATGAAGCTTCCTTACAGGGTGATTTCAAGGGAGGTGGTGTCTGATGGCCACCTCCTAGGACACGGCCCACTCCGGGCAGACAGCAGCCATGCCTTAAGAAGCAGAGCTACCTTCTGTGCCTGTGCAGGCCATTCTTGCCTAAGTCCCCAGCTCTGGATGCAGTCTCGAGGCTGGCCCACGGCCCGGGGGCCCTGCAGTGTGGCGTGCAGGTCCCCTCTGTGCAGGAGTCTTCCCGGGCCTCTGAGGACAAATGGTGCATCCTTGGCTGCTTTACTGTGGTGACCAAAGAGCTGGGATTGCCTCCGTGTTGAGAGTTGTGCTCGATATTGCTGATGGAGTAACTTCCCCTGGAAAGAGAGTCTCCACCCTACATCCCCCGTACCCTTTTACCTATGACTGAGTCATCGGTCTCTTGGTGCCTCACTTTTCCCATCTGCCAGATGGGGCCATCAGAACTCCTCCTCCGGTACCTCAGAGTCTTCTGGATCCAAAGCACCACTTCAGTATTATTTGTTGGTCTTCTCTGTGCCTTCCCTTGACCTGGAGCTGGGAGGCAGGAGACAGCTGCTAGCCCAGTTTGTTTCTGAGAATATGGATTATGGACTCTGAATGGGGCAGTGCATTAAAATTAGCCTCTGGAGGGGGGCAGTACTGGCAATGCCAGGCCACAGTCTGGTTCAGACAATTCACTCATCACCAGGCGATTTTATCCCTTAGATCAAATGGAAGGGAGGGTGCCTCCTTTCATGACACTGAAATTGGCCCCAGTCACATCCACCTCTTGACTCTACCTTCATCATGGAAGGTGGGAAATAAAACCTCACTTACTGCATTAAATCAAGGTCAGGAAACTTAAAAATTACCAAAAAAAAAAAAAAAAAAAGGAAAGAAAAAAGGAATCAGGGTAGAAGAATGACTACGTTACAATATTTCATGTATGTTCTGCTGGGCAGAATTGTCCCCCAAATGGCGGTACTGCAGACACATTCACACACACTCGCACACACACACTTCATCAGCCCTTCCCACCTCCACTGCATCACACGCTGACAGATGTAGGAGTGCTGTAGAAGGAAGCAGTGTTTGGTGTCGTAGTTCAGATGATGTGAAAGCAGGGAAGGAGTGGTGTACCAAGGTTTATTTCTTGAATGGATGAATGAATGTTCCCCTTCACTTTTCTCGTTGGTAACCAGGTTGTCAGTGAGTTGTAATAATTGGTATTGTCTGTGAGTCAGGAGTATTTAACTGAAAAGTTAATGTGATTCTAGTTCTTACATCATGATTCCTGAGTAGCTAAAGGGCTTTGAAACCTTCATAGAAAGCTCCACCTTCAAAAATCACTTCAAAGTATATGCATTCTTTTCAGGAGACAATCCGGTGTTTTAAAATATATATATGGCACTGGAAGGTACATAGGTGATCTTACCTGGCCCTTTCCCAGTTTGTTTTCTGACTTACTGAGATCACCTCTGTGTGCCTTGGTTCCCCTGCCTGTGGGTTCCCCTGCTGCAGGAGCCCGCCCTTCACACAAACACTGTGAGGATGACTCAAAATCCAGGGAACATTCCCAGTACTGTGTCACTCCAGAACGGGAGGTGCAGCCTCTCTGACAGGGAAGGGTCATGTGACTGTACTATGGCTGGAGAGTATGATGTACTGTCACGACCCGGTGCAGGAGTAATCTTAAAAAGCACATTGCAAATCCTAGTGTGCAAGAGCCTAGTCCTGAATGTTGCCAAATTAGAGGTACGCACTAGAAATCACTGTGTAAAGGCAAAAACTTTTACTTAAAAAAAAATCCCTGTAGCTGAGCATAAGTGAAGCAAAAACAGAAGCCAAACCTAGTAATAATAAAAATGGTCCCTCCAAACTACACGTCATCCAGTAGCATAGAGCCACACTTCTACAATTGTAGGGAATTGCTCTCAGAAGAGGAACTATTTCCAGAATGTTTACTGGGCCCTTGACGTATAGTCTTTTCTTTGAAATGCTGTCTGAGAGAAGAGGTGGTTTCTAATTCTGAAAAGCAGCAAGAGAGCGTTGGAGGGGGCAGGTGGGAGGTGGGGAAAAATGGCTCCTCATATGTATTCTGCTGGGCAGAGCAGTCCTTAAGCAGCATTCTGGGGGCCCAGAGATGGCCTTAGAGCACCGTGTAGAAGCGCTCTTACCACCCAGGGATTGCAGCCTTGCAGTGGGGACAGGCTTTCACAGTTACCCTTTGGAAGCAGTTTGAGGAGGAATGGGACGGATAGAAGCTTAGATGAAGCAAGCAGGACAAAACTATTTCCAATAAAATCACTGGGTGAAACTAGTCCAGTGTCCTGCTCAGTGACCAATGCCTAAACCACATCTGGACAAGGACAATGGAAATTTCCTTTGGACACACACAGCCTGAGTGCTCAGTGAGGGCCATAACCAAGATTTACCAAAGCAGAGTGTCTGTGGGGTAGTAAACACAGGTGAATGTCTTGGTCCACTTTATGATACTATAACAAAATACCTGAGCCGGGCTGGGTAGTTTGTAAATAAAAGTGTCACATGGAGGGGTGTGTGTGAGAGAGAGAGGAAGCAGGAGACAGGAGGGGCCAGGCGTGCTTTGTTAGAAAATCTAACCACCCCCTCTTGAAGGAACTAATCCCATTCTTCGAGACTAGCCTTAGTCCACTCATGAAGGCGGAGCCCTTATAACCTAAGTGTGTGTCATTTGGCCCCGCCTGTGGGTTTTTTTTATTTGTAACAGTGGGGATTGAACCCAGGGCCTTCACACTGAGCTAATTCCCAGCCTTTTAATTTATTTTTATTTTTGAGACAGGGTCTTGCTAAATTACTAAACTGCCCAGCTGGCCTCAAACTTGTGATCCTCCTGCCTCAGCTTACTAGAGTGCTGGGATTTCAGGTGAAGCACTACCAAACCAGCCAGGCCTCACCTCTTAAAGTTTCCACAACCCCAACACCATCACACTGCAGACCCGGCTTCCAGCATAGGGACAGCTGGGAACAAACTCTAGCTAAGGCACTGCGATGAGAATGCAATTTATGTTCAAGCCATTTTGCCCCTCATTCCTTCTCCTTTAAACAGTCCATAGAAATACAGAGGTAACTGCAGAAGGGTGATGTTTTGTTCACTGTGGAAGCCTTTATAGCCCATGGTTTGTCGCTTCACACATTGTAAACACATAAATACTGCATGAGAGAAGGCCAGAGGGATGGATGGACGGATGGATGGATGGTGGGTAAATGAATGGTGGAAATCTGCATAGAATAGATGGGCTAGGCAGCCTCCATTCATGCAGCGATTTCCACTGGGCACCTGCTGTGTGCCAAGCACTGCTCTTGATGCTAGTGGAATAGAATCTCTCTGATCACTGACCCAGGAGTCACCTGTACTGTGACACCATGAGCAGATGTGTCTGTTTTCCCGTTGGGCTTACCTACTTCCCACCTGGGTATCCATCCTCCTGGCCCCTCAAGACATGTCAGTTCACTTTTTTAGTCTCCTGGGGATAAGCCATCTGCCAGTCAACTGCCATCTAGTCACTGTTGCTCATTTGCCTTCAGAGAAGTCGTGGTTAATCAGGTCAAGTTCATAATGTCGCATGGTTAATCAGCTTGAAATTACAGTAAAAGGGCAGGGGTGGATATTAATCACTTTCAAGGGCATTATTGCCATGCCTTTTAGAAAGTCAAATAAATAATGATCCTGGACCTAGAAAACTGAGCCTCAGGCTATGCAGGGTCCCAATTCACCAAACAGACTACTGGCTCTAGCACGCAGCTATTCTTGTGGAGACTGAAAAGTCAGTAATTCAAGCCAGGGGTGGTGGCGGCACATACACCTGTGATCCTAGCTACTTGGGAGGCTGAGGCAGGAGGTCAGCTTGGGCCATTTAACAAGACCCTGTCTCAAAATATTAAAAAAAAAAAAAATAGAACTGGAGCTGTAACTCAGTGGCAGAGCATCCCTGTGTCCAATCCCCAGCACAGAAAGAAAGAAAGAAAAAAGAAAAGAAAGAAGGAAAGAAAGAAAGGGAGAAAAAGTGGGCTGGGGAATATACTCAGCTGGAGCTAGCAGCAGGTGTTAGGATGTGGGATGAAGGCTGGTGGGTTTCTCAGGAGCACTGATGACATCATCGTTGGTGGGGGTTATTACTTCCCCACTCATCACATGCAATCATTCTGCATGAGCACAAAAACCTAGTCCAAAATATTTTTTTAATTAGCTGAAGTGCTCACGCATCTTCTCCACTAGCACAACGTTAGTAGCATCTTTCTGTGTCAGACACCTGCACAGTTCGTGGGACTGTCAGGACGATCCGTACCTCCTGCGTCTGAGCCTGCGTGTCTGTGCGTGCTCCCCTCCCAGCGTCAGTGATGTTGCAGAGGGAGGGAACCTGTAGTTGTCTCATCGTCGCATCGTTGCAGGAAACAGCAAGCTCTGGGAAAACTGAGCTGCCTGCTGGTGGGATGCACTGCTTCCATCTACCTATAGCAGCCTGTAGGCTCCTATCTGATGGCTGCATCGGGCTCTGGCCTGATAAGCATGGTGTCTGCATTTCCCAAGTCCATTACTGAGCCTCGTGGGTAAAAGGGATTTCCATGTTGCCACTCCACTGTCTTAGTGCAAGAAATTGA